GGGTGAAGACGGTGCCAATGTGACTATGTTCCATGCTACACCTTGGATATGGGTGTAATATGACAAATGGTCCAATAGGAAAACGTAGCCTTTAAGGTAGCCATAGACATAGCACAGCAACCAGACCATCCTACTGCTAAATAAATTGTCCTGCAGAATTGTTGTGGTATAAACATGCACAATCACACCAGCTGAGCATGCAAGTTTAAAGTAGTAGTAGCTTGATTTGCTGTGCCTGTGTGTTTCTGGAAGTTAAAGATGGACACCGGCACTCTAAAGCAAATCCAGTACGTCTATTTATTCACGTACTTGTTGCAAATGCAAAACACGTATCTTGTGTTTTGCATTTGCAACAAGTACGTGAATAAATAGACGTACTGGATTTGCTTTAGAGTGCCGGTGTCCATCTTTTACTTATACTTTGACGGAAGCCACCCGTTGACACCTGCTGCCCCCACTTCTTATCTCATGGAGCAGTGGTTCCGAGTGTGATGGGTACACCGACTGTATGTGTGTTTCTGGAGACACACACAGCTTACAAACGCACACAAGGGTGGCTCCATAGGACTCTGCAAGTCAAAGAAGCAACCCTAAAACAGGATATCAAGGCCAGTGATCAAGGGACCAGCTGATTCTACCGGAAGCAAAAACGTTGAAATATCAAGAAGCATCATCCACTGTAAGGGATTTAATCAGCATTTTAAATAGCTCAAAAACATTTTGGCTTTGATATCACTTTAAGGACTGTGAAGACAACCCCTAATGCTGACCTCATCTTAGGGGAACAATGTCACAGGCTAGAAATCTGGGTGATCACCAACAATGGTTGGTCAAGAAGTATCTGCGGAGGATATGGTAGCTCATAGAAAAACTATACCCTGGTCTGAATATTAACAACTGTACCTGTAGTTGCATGTGTGAGTATTAATACGGGTATGTGCGTTTCCTGTGCCCTGTTATATAGGGCTAAGGAGCATGTTTGTGTAAAAAAAATAATAATAATAAAATTGTACTTTCTAAATCAGCGTTAAAACCTACACTCTCCCCTCCTATTAAATCATAAACTGCCCTGGCCTAAAAACAAAGAAGCGACCTTCAAGGTTAGTCAGGTTTTAAAATATATTTCTTAAATGTTTCTGTAAAAATTGCTGTCATATAAATTGATTTCCCACTTCTGCTGCCAGCCTCCCTCTCAAGAAACCTTTCCGGCCTTGCATTTTAAGAACTGGCTGCTAACATTCCATGCCTTTCACAAGTATTAGGAAATTGCACCTTTTAACGTTTTCAGTAATGACAGTTGTTCAGGGGAAATTTCAAAAAAATTCCAAATAAAATGCTGTACAGTATAGATAAGCAAGTCTGATCTACTGCACAGTAACAATTTGCTGCTCAGCTAGTTCTAATACTACATATAGAGGGTGTGATTATGCTCAAATTCAATAGGCTAACATTTTAGTGTTGAAACCTTAACCTACATTGGCAATAGCTGGGCTATGAAGCAAAAACCACCGCGATGATGATACCATACGGATGATATGTATTTAGTCAAAACAGAGATAACCATCACTGTGTTTGGTTACTGCACCAGGACTGGACAATGATCCTAAAAAATTGCAGCTGGCTCCTGGGTTTGACAGACTGGCTACTAAAATATTAATTTCTCCACCCCTGTATTATACAAGTACTTACTAGTAAGAATTTAAAGGTTTGTTTGATTCAAATTTTACACCTTGGATACCTATCTGGGCAACATTTGGGTGGGATGGTGAGATCTTATAGCATTTTGTCAGATTTAAGTGCATGTGTTCGAAATAAAGATCCTTTTGCAAAAGCAGAAAGGTTGGCAAGTGCCTTTTAAGTACATGCACACCTGAATCGAACCAAAAACGCAAGTCAACATCAGGTAACTTATTGACTTTCATTTTCATAGTCCATTGGCATTTATTTGTTTTTAAATCTCAACTCTAAGCTATATAAAAAAGGTATTGGTTCTGCCTTTCGTTGACACAAATCCATTGTGTTGCAGTGAAAAAAAGTACAGCCTGCTCTAGTGTTTTTTCCTGTGGAGGGCAGCACAACGCAATGCTCCCATTCACACCCATGCATTTTCAGAAATCCTTGCATTGGCAGCCCTTGAAAAACCAGATGCCAACAGATCTAGTTTGCATGGGGTGGGGCCTAAATACATTATTTCTTCCCAGAAATGTATTTTAGGCCCTTGAAGAAAAAAAATGCCTGAAAGTAGTTTTGTGGCAGAAGAGACTTTGCATGTGTTCACCAAAAGTCAACTTGGCCTTTAAGCAGTTGACCTCAGGGTAAGCGTTATGCTTATGGGTTAGGCTGAGATTAAGCATTACATTTAGACACTAGGTTTCAGAATATTTTTGGGTGTGATACAGTTTTTATTAAATGTTGCATTAAATTCAAACAATCAATGTTACAAGACACGAGGTACAAAAATACACATCTACAGCTCAAAATCTGATGGTTTCCAGAGTCCCGCATATAACACTGGCATATGAAGAAAAGTGGTGTACTGTGAAAAATATACTGGACACTACCTGTAAACTAGAAGAAGTTTAAACAAGATACAGACACAGAAAAGAAGGAACCAGACTGTTTCATTTCAAATGTTACTGAAGCCCAATATCTACAGCCATTGGAGCCATATTAAATCAAATTTGCAGATTGCCTGGTGCTGTACAGAAAGTAGGTACGGTAAACCTGTATCAATTCTGTTAACCATTCCTCTATAGAGGGTGGAGCTTCTGACATCCATGTAATAGCAACATCCTTTAGCAATAAAAAATATTGTGGACATTGTCAGGGAGATGCTTTCATCAAGGAGGGAGGTATGGTAACACTTGTGGCTATAGGTAAAAGGGTCAGTGTTTAGAATGACATCAAGGACTTAAAGTCATAATTCCCCTGTCCCAGTATCTCCTCAACTTTGTACAGCACCAGAGAAGATGTATGGGGTTCCCATTTGGGTGAACACATTTGTTTCAAGAATCTGCTTATAGGGCAAATCTATAGAATAGCTTAAGGTTATGATAGAATGAAAAGTGGTGTTAAATTGTGTGGAGGAACAGGGATATTAATTGTATGGACTGGAAAATATCATGCAATGCATCATCGAGAGCCAAGGTCCACTTCTCATTTTAGTTTATAAAGCAAAGGAAATTTTGCTCAACAACAGAGAATATGCTAAATGGATGAGACCT